CTGTCTTCCACCAAAATAAAAGTCAACTGGAAATCTATCTCCTTGCTGTGTAACACTCTCTTGACTTATGCCTACTGATATAATACTGACAAGCTTCATAATTATCTTTACTTTTGATTAATGAGCCACTGAGGTAGATTAGTTTATACTTATTTACTTGAGCTGTACTAGCATAGATAGCCAATTTATACTGTTTCACTGTTTCTGTTAAACTTTATCACGTGATGAGATCACATCCACAGTGCACATGCTGCTTTATTTATATGAAAAAATGGTGATATTCCAACTCGTGCTTGGTCTGACAAAAAATTCTTCACTGTGTTAGGCAGAGATTTCAGAGATCACTCCACCAGAGCTGGAGGAGCAACATTCTATGCCTCTCTTGGTTTGTTGGAATCAATCATCTAGGCTCTTGAATGCTGGTCCTCAAAGGCCTGGACCACTTACATTTGAGATAATCCTGCATTACAAGCTGAATTTCAGCTCGCACATTTACATTACCACTATTCATCATCTTGAACATTTCTCTCGTGGCCCGTTCATATCTTTTCGAACCACTTCCACCTAAAGCAATATAGCCGTTCGCGTACCACAACAGATTGACGGGCTTGGAACTATTCTAAGCCTGCCTTTATAGCTACTTGTCGTCGAGTGAACTGCAGAGGTGACACAGCCACTGCACAAGCTACAGTGTCAAGTCCATGAATGTATTGCAAATGAGTCATCTAATTACTATCTAAAAGCACAAAGAAAGCACAATAAAAGAAAACTTCTCAATCCACCATCACTCACTGCATCCTGCCTAGTACCCGCGGTTGGTTCACATCTGCCATATTAATAAAGATATCATCTGCAGGGTGTCGGTATAGCGGTGCCCTCAGTCTCTTCTGGTCGAGATGATGTCCAATGAATCCGATACTTCTACCAAGCACGAACAGACCGTTCAATGTACCGATCTTCAATGCAAATCATTATTAGTCTATATTCCCGAATAGGTATCAGGCCCTTACCTTGATGTACTCATCTGCCTCTTCCGGTGTGAATGCACCACTATCCCTCAATAGGTCAACAAAGCAAACAGCAATACATCCATCCACGTTCAAAATCAAGGTGTCCTTCTTACTCGTCGTGACCTTCTCTACGGCAAGAGCATAGTCGAGCAATGAGTGGCTAGGGAAATTTTTGCGAACATACTCCTTGACAAGCTCAACACGCAAATCAGGGTTGTTGACACTCTTGATCTTGTGTCCAATACCCGAGACTAAACCCGACATCAGCGCTCTATCAGATTCTCTAAAAACAAAAACTCACTAAGCTTGTTTGCCTTCCTTGAGTTGTCAACAAACTCCCGCGGCGTCAAACCTGTATCCCGCGCGTTGCTGAACATGGCAGCAGCTTCATCGAGGGCACCACCGAACCGGCTACCGATCGTCAGCAGACCAGATGCCAAGGACGAGATCAAGTCCTTGCCCGCTCGCGACGCGACAATAGTGTTCATAGCCCCAGACACGGCCGGTCCATGATCCGCAGTGAGCATGAGGACCATCTCGATGAACTTGGTCGCCCAAGGCGGCAAGCGCCTCTTGAACCACAACAAACTGACAACACCACCAAGCCCGATATCCTCTTTGAAGACATCGCTGATTCTCATACCAGCATACAACAGCTCCTGGCCCCGCTCGTCGGAGATCGTCGAGATGAATGCAGCAGGTTTTCGGATCAAGCCCAACTCCTGGGCCCACTTGTAGTCCATCGGAATAACAGGCGGGTCCCTCTCGGGCTTGGGAACAACAACGCCCTTTGCGACGAGCGCATCATACGTCTCCCGCAGGACAGCGGGCAACTCTTCAAAGGTATCAGGAACGACGAACCCAGCTTCCCTCATCGCGCGGTTCTTGGCATCGGCAGTCTCGAGGTCTGAGTTGGCCATACTTCCGGCGTGACCGAATTGTACTTCGGTGGTAAACATCTTGGCGCAGGTACCAATGGCCCATGCAACGACAGGTTTCTTGATCTGCCCGTTCTTGACGGCCTCGATCACGCGGTACTCTTCCACACCACCAACTTCACCGAGAAGGACGAGCATCTTGCACTCAGGATCAGCCTCATAGCGGAGGAGATGGTCGATGAAGGTGGTTCCGGGGTACCGGTCACCACCTATAGCGATACCCTCATATGTGCCGTTCGTCGTAAAGGAAAGAATGTTGTTCAGCTCGTTGGACATACCACCCGACTTGGAGACATAACCAACCGAGCCAGCACGGTAGAGTTTGGATGCAATGATGTTGTCCATCATACCACCCGAGTTTCCGATTCTGAAGCAGCCAGGCTTGATACCTCCAACAGTGGCGGGTCCAATAATTAGCACGTTACGCTGCTTGGCTTCCCAGAGAATTTCACGGGCATGTCTCTCAGGAACGCCCTCAGCAATGAGCGCTATGCTGCGAATGCCGGTGTAACCGCCCTTGAGAATCTCCATGGTGCTGCCGAGCACGGATCGGCTACTGGCAAAGTTGACGACAACATCGACGTCAGGATGCTTGGCAACGGCCTCACCAATACTCGTGTAAACAGGTAGGAGGGTTTCCTTGGTACCCCAGTAGAACTTTTGGATGTGGTGACCACCGAAGGGATAGATCATTGCAGCAACACTGGGCGTGGAGCGGCCGCACGAGTAATCAAAGTCAAGCATGCCCTGGATAGCACGGGGCTGGAGACCATAGACGAAACTCCTCGTGTGCTCATCAAATGGCCTGTAGCTAGGTCGGGAAGTGGGAGAGCTGGTGTCAAAGTGGACGATTTGGTCATCAGGTTGGGTGCGCTCGCCAGATGGGTGGATGGTGCCGATTGCAGAGGGTTCGGACGTGACGGTACCAGAAACAACGTGAGGAGGAGTACCAGGGGCAGTTGCAGGAACGCTCTTTGGTGAGTGTGTTTTCGCAATGATGCCGAGAGCAAGAGGAACGATCTCTGTGATGTGGGTCTCGGGACCAAAGACACGGATGGGAACACCAAGGGATTCTCCGAGCAGTCTCATTGCCTTGAGACCTTCCTGTGCGGAATTGAGAATGGATCATACCCACGCTGAACGGAGTTGGACGTACCTGGTAGTTGGGACCGCCACGTCGGACAAAGATCTTGACCCCAGAGTTGATGAGTTGTTGCTTGTACTCCTTCAGAGCACGAATGATACCCTTGAACGTTGCAACGACATTGGTGAAGTTGGCGATACCACCGCCGATGATTAGAATCTTGCCTTCAGGCCGAGGGGTACCACGAGTGATCAAATCGACTGTGAAACGCATTAAGCAGGCAATAAGCCGATTCCGATGATCGAAACTCACCAAGGGTTTTGGCATATTCGTAGGTCTGGCCCTCGGTAGGAGCACCAGAGTATTCCCCATAGTTGGCAAGTTCATGTGCAAACCCACAAGCGGCGATGGCATCACTGTAGACGACACTGGCACCACCACCTGCAACCATGGTCCAGACGCGACCCTCGGGGTTGAGGACGGTGAGTTTGAGGGATGCACCGGTAGAGGCATCAAGCTTCTGGATGTATGCTTCCTCTTTAGTGAGAGAGCGACCGAACGGCGCGGGAAAGATCATAGGGGGTCCACGGTCAGCAGTGACCTTGCCGCCCTTTTGCACGACGGCAGCGCCGTCGTAAACGCTGAGGTCACGAGCAATAGCCCACTTTTGTCCGCAAATGCTCTCTGCTGTCTGATCGAGTTTGGCGGCCATGTCCAAGTAGTGTATTTCGACATTTCCGCTCTTGCTCTCCGACGGACCGAGACAGATAAGAGGGTTGATCTCGAGGTATGCAAAGTGAAGGTCGACGTATACCGAGTACAGACGAATGAGGAAATCGACGAGGGCACTCTTTTTCTCTGCAGGGACGTGGGTAAGGAGAGTGGCGGCAATGGTCTCTTTTGAAGGGAAAGTGTTGGGTTCGGCAGACGTAGGGACTGGAATGTCGAGTTTGAGGGCCTTTGCGTCAACATCGCCGACATCGACACCACCTTCGTGGGTAAAGAGGATGCTGTCGCCTTCACGGGATGAGTTTATGCAGACATAGTATTCAGTGTTGGAGGGGTGGGGAAGGAATGGTTCGAGGATGAAAGATACGAGCGGCCCGGAGACGGCTTCGACCTGGGAAATCTTTTAGCATACGGGTATATCGATAAGGTAGTGGGCACACCCTTTGAACCTTGCCAGCCCTGTCACCAATCCAGGCCATTGCTTCGTCTATAGTCTTGTTGAGGGCGAGCAGACCGGCCTTGCCTCGACGCTTGATGAGCTGATCGGGCTTCGCGACGAGCTTGACGCCCGACTCTCTAGTCCAAGCAGGGAGCTCTGCTAAAGGAGTCGTCTGCTTGGTCTCCTCATCAAAGAGGACCTGAGCGACGCGAGGAAGAGTTGGGGTAGCACTGGTGCCTAGCTGAATGTTAGAGTCGATTGTAGACACACGGGTGAGCCAGTATGATAGCAGGAGCTTTGCATCGTATTCGCGAATGGCTACAAGGACGGTGAGGAAGGAAAATGGGGGGGAGAAAGAAAGGACGTACGTTTAGAGGACATGACAGCAGTGGTTCAATCTTCTTGTTGGCTGATCTGCATTTATATAAATTTTGCCTCTACGCCGGGCCCCCAATTTTCCCACGATCGAGACTAGCGTGGATGTCTTGTTCGTTGGTTGATCTCGTACGCCTCTGTTTCGCGACCTTGCAGTCTGATTTATATTATTTTTATTCTGGTGCAGGCTGGTGTCGAGCAATAAAGCTACTCATCGTCGTACACGGTCCGGGGCATGCGGAGGGATAGAGACAAAGGATCAAAACTGATGTCCGAATGAATGCGGTTTTGTATGTGGGTGGAACGATTGGGGATGCCCACCCGAGTCCAGTAAATGTGTTAATTATACAATATCCAACATTCACAAATAAAAATACGCGTCATATATCGTGTCGTCGTCGTCGTCGTCGCCATCGCCATCGCCGTCAATTCGTAGTTTCCTTTTCTAATTCGTCGTCATCCTCATAAGGACTGCTCGATGCATTGATCCATTCGCCCAGCGCCTCTCTCTCCTGCGCGCCGAGCTTGCTCTTCTCCTCTTTGCTTTCGCCTTTCTTGACTGTGCTCGTTTCATTTGCATCCCAGTCCTCTGTAGGATGGCGGGCCAATGTCGATTGCAATTTCTCGCCTTCTGACATAGCACGTGTCTGTAATATTCAATATCAGCTCTAACAATACTTCGTGTTCCCTGAGGCGTACCACTGAGTGACGAGTCTGAGATAACCCTGCGTAATCCGTGTAAATGTTTCCCAAGATAGGAAACGTACCAGGCAGGCTGTCCTGACAACAAAGCAAATTGCTACAGACAAGGAGAATGCAATCTCAGACAGTCCGATGTGGTCGTCCAAGACAAAGAGTCCAGTTCGGAGATTGCCAAATCCGTTTCGCGTGACCGTGAGACAACCCTTGCGCCGCCTACTAGTGGTAGCACCGTTCTCTCTCAGACGGAACGTATCCCTTGTCTACTAGGGATCTTACCAACACAGTCTGGGCCTTGGGGAGCAAAATCCGTCCAACTTGCTCTTATGGTTTTCCGTCGCTGAGGATGATTGGCTCATCAACGGCACACCGCACTCTCTTCTTCTAACGATATGCATCTAACATGGATTTCATCGTACAACAGCAAACCGTAGTACAAGTCGCAATGAATCAAACATCATTAGAGCTACGCATACATCCTATCATCAAAGTGGGCTTTACTCAAGCAACATGAAACACGGAACATCCAACCAAGTACTTACTTTTCTTGGTAGTTAGGCGTGCTGATGGATGATCGAACCTTGTCGGGGTTATCAAGATTGCAGATGCTACTCACTGGTAGTGACTCTGTTTCGCTTTGAGAATCCTTACCGGAATATCAACTTACTGGAGGATGAAATTTGATCGTTGACATAAAGGCGTGCGAGCATATTCACACGGAGGAAGAATCAAGGCATACGTCAGCAAACCACGACTCACCCCATTGGATATCAGATACGTCGCATTTGGGAGGAAAGCTTCGCTCGAACGTTGAGGACCTCCTGATATGTCCTCCAGTGCCCCATGCTGACCTTACTTCAAGCAGGATGTATTTTTTTCCTTGACCATAGTCGTCACAACGCACAAAGCCAAGCTCTCAAACGCCCTCTTTAGATCGACTCAAGGATTCGGGCAGGAAATTAGGTGTACGAGAAGACAAATAAATGTGCTAAGAGCCTCTCGTAACGCAAATCTAGGCGCTAAAGCGAGGCACCGTAGCTAGGATTTGCAGAGCAGTCACCGGCAAGACTCCATCAGCAACCAGCAGCGCAACAACTTCCTGGCATCACTCTTGCCAGGTCCGGAGCTTTGGCACAGTAGGAGTCTTACTCGAAACGAGCTTTCCGGCGATCAGAAGAACCACGAAACACAAGAAAAACAACGTACAGGAGCACTCGCGCTCCTAAGACTCCTTCATGGCGGAGGAACAGTCTTGATCAACTTCTCCAAAGGACACGACGACTCGCTCGTATGCTTCAGTCCTTCTAACCACTCTTATGTTCAGGTATGCATCTGTTGCGGGATGACACAAGTACCTGATGTCAACCTTATATAAGAATAGACAGTTTTGTCCTGAGTCGATGGTCAACTGTCTTTAAGCAATTGACCATCGTACTCAGGTGAGTAGTAGTCATACGTACCAACTGCCTTTAAGCAATTGACTATCGTACTCAGCCTGGCCGTTATTCACTGTGCAAAAATAACCTGCCTGCAACAGGTCATGGGCCCTGTGTTTTAAGGTCTATTTCATTTTTTTTCATCTTTGCATCTTGCTTGTGCCCTGCTATCTCTCTATCAGTCACTTCACTACTGAAACAATATCACCACATACATCATACCATCCTTTGACACAATCAAAAAGGGCTTTGACAACCTAAATGCCTCCAATTATGGCAAGTGGGAAGAAAACATGTCAGCCCTACTCAAAACTTGCCATGAGTACCTTATCACCATTGGCCATGACTCTGAACCAGAGTTTGCAGACCCCAAGAAGCCAACATTGTTGGAAATCCTCAGTGGTGCACAGGATAGACTCCAGGCTGGTAAGACCAGAAAGAATGAACTCCTTATTCTACAGCTCCTACAGAGCTCATATTTATACTCTCCAGGCTTGTATCTAGAATTTACTACAACTTTCTCTTGAGCTTGAGCTTACTCATCAGCTCTCAGCATGATGCCGGATTGCTCTTTCTAGAACTTTTCAGCAAAATCTCAACACTCCCCTTCAATATAGCATCCTGCTGCAATATTCCAGAATATCCCAATATATCCTAAAATGTTCCAATACCCCAATATACCTCAAGTCTCCCCTTGAAAATTGAAATAGTCTGAAAATTCCCAATTATATCCCAAGACTTGTGATCATTTCCTATCCTCACCCATGCTGCAGGAGCCCCAAATGCTACTTACAGCCAGCTGATCCCAATATCAAGCTAGCCAGACTCAGTCTAAACCACAGCAGAAACACATTCCTACCAAGGGGCTTAAGAGAATCCACAAAAATATAACCAATTTTCCACCAAAGTTGCCTCAAAAAGCATATTCTCTTTCTTCATTATTGCTCTGCACAATGTTTGCAGTGTTGGCACTGTCATTCCATTTTGTGTGACAATCACAACTAATATGGCCAGTCTTGCCACATGTGTAATATCTGATGTTCTGCTTCAGACTGCTTAATCTCTTTGATCATGGGATCAGAGCCATTGCACTAGATGCACTGCCCCTTCTTCTTTCTTCATCAATCAGAGCATTTGTCATGCTACTCATAGTAGATAATGAATAAGAGCAAATTAAGAAGTCGAGATATCATAATCAGAATCTAATCATGATGCCAGATTGCTCTTTCTAGAACTTTCCAGCAAAATCCCAACAAACATACTAGGAGAAGAAGGACTGAAAAGACTGGAAGGAGACTCAGATATCAGCTGCTGATATAATCTATCTCTACCTTGATAAATCCTAGAAGGTTCATATCAAGAGCTGCCTTGATGATCCAGAGAGAATGTAGGACACATTAAAGGCACACCATCAGCAAAGAAAACCAGCAACTCAATTTGTAGTCTATAACAGCTTCTTCAATCTCAAGAAGGAGACAGAAGAGTCACTTTCAGCCCTTGCCAGTTGGGGCACTCAAATCATGAGTTGTATCCATGCTTTGCACTCTGTGCATTTTAGTCTCCAGCAGTTAAAAAAAGAGCTTCTTGTTATGGCCCTGATTCATACACTCTCTCAGCCTGAATTTAGAAACTTTGTCATATCACTATTCCTTCTCTCTGATAAGCTCACTCTCAAAGGACTCCACACTGCATTTTACAATAAAGAAAACAATCAGAAGCTGCATACTAGTGATCCAGCAGTCTCTATTGCTCTTAAAGCTACACCTTTCCATTCAGCCATGAATCCAGCTACCAACGCTGCTGCAAAATGTGGATGGTACCTTTATGAGAATCATGCAGAGGAAGAGTGTATAACCAAGAAGCTCTCACTTAAATGAGACCATAAATATGCTGCTGACTGTACTGCTGGGAAGCATCATCACAAGAGGGCTGAAAAGAAGGATTCAGAAGCTGCTAACTCTGCAGAGACAAAGGAGAAGACTGCTAGCCAAGCAAGTACTGATTTATCATCATCTGCCATGTCTCATTGGAATACCAATACAGGTGCTTCTCATTATATGACCCCTCACCAACAATAGTTCTAACTCTATGCTCTACATGTTATTTTTATTCATCTTGCAGACAATTCAGTCATCCATTCAGCAGAGATTGGATCAGTAGTACTAGAGCCAGAAATTCAGAGGGAGAAAGGCTCAGTGGTGGAACTTTTTGACATACTACATGTACCAGTATTGAAAAGTAATCTCTTATCACTCTATCATCTCACATGAGAAAAGGGATTCAAGATCTCAATTGCTGAATCAGATATCACTTTCAGCCAGAGTGAAAAGGTTTGATTCACTTCAACTGTAAATGAGAGCAATATCAGCTATGTCAATGTTACCACATATTCATTCTCAAAATTGGCCACTATTATTGCAAACTCAAGCTTCACAAGTATCTGCCAGATAGATAACACACTTTGGCATAGATGTTGCTGTCATTGAAATATAGACACTATATAGCACATGCATACAAAGCAGCTAGTAACTGAAATGAAGTGAGAGTCAGATCTCTCAACTGATCCTATCTGCATATCATGTGCTATGATTTTCATTCCTTTTCTTCTCTTTTCAACCCCTATTTATGCTTAGTCAGAGTGCCAGAACAAGCACCTGAGACCATGAGATGGGAGCTTAGTCATCACAACTGGCCAAGCCTGCTATTGTCTCTCAATGTAACAATGTTGCCTGATGATGCAGTCAGCCTTTTATGTATGGTAATGATGCCCTAGGACAATGAGCACAAAAGACAGAGGGATACATAATAAGTATGTAGTATTATTAGCAGAGTCCTGTACAATATTTAAGGAGCTCATCCTCACTGGTAAACTCCAGCTTCAAGCTAAAGTTTATACATTCTCATTCTACTCTTGTGCTAAAATCACACAAAGCCTTGAAGCATAGGGAATCAACATATAACACATAAAAGTGGACTCTAATGGAAGGCTCAAATGTGAAGTCATATTAGCTTATCATATGTTAGTTGGTCACATGCAGCTTGAGCCTAACAATTAGCTTAAAGCTATTACTTTCCTTTCTCAAGCCCAATTGTCCTGAGAAACCGAATGCCTCCAGCAACTACTGCTGACCTTAATTATGACTTCTTTAAGCTAATAGCTTCCATCATTGGAATGCTGCTCAGACTTCTAGCCATCATCACTCTCTGTCAAGGATGACAATCAGTCACAGCTTGGATAGTCAGGCACTATTAGGCATTCCAATAGATCTGTACCATCCTCTAAAATATAACCTCTGACCTACTATTTCATGACATTTCCGCCTCTGTCAGAACATCCTTCCAGCTGCAGGGACAATCTGTATCTGAAGCCAGACCTAACAGCCTGAATTTAGGGAGCTCTCAAGAAGAGGAGAGACCCTGATACCTCTCTCAATGACACAGTAGAAATCGCCACCCTGCTCTCACAGAATTCTGAAACCCATAGACCACGAACATTATCCAGGAGCCCAAGGAGGTCCCCAATGATGACCATTTGAACCATCTCACTGTTAGGAATGTGCCAATCGAGTGGGCTTGAGTGCACGCACAGAGTCCAGTGGAGTGCATGGGCATTGATGAAGCTATTGGCAATGTCACCCTTGAGTCAGAGCCTAAGGATCTGGATGGACAGAATGGAGTTCTGTCAGAGAAGTGAACAGGAGTATTCTTCAGAGCGGAATCCAACGGATGAGATAGAGGGAGGTGAGTACGAAGTGTAGATGGCTTATCCAAGTTGATATTTGAACTGAGTAGCTACGATGATGTACATGGCTTTATATACTAATGGTAGCTAATTCTGAGTCGGGTTCCATTGGGTTCCAGTGTCGGTATTCATTACCGAGTTCGGGGTCTAGATATTACAATGTGAAATACAGATATGAAATGATAATGGTGAAATGAAATTAGTAGGTAATGGGAAGCAGTCAGAGTCTGGTGGGTGGTGTGATTGGATTCGTGGTTGGTTGAGATGACATGGAGGCTGGTGGCATGCACGTAACAGTATCCCCCTCTTAGCATTCTTGCCCTCAAGAGTGCAGATCCCATTGGCCGATGGGGTCACATGGAAGATTGTTAGTGGCCATGGGAGTTTTTTCAGCTTGATCTGAAACCACCATCTTCATCTATGTCATTGCTCATGCACTCCCAAGCCTTTGGTGAGGGGATCCACCCCCAATAGCCCTGAAGAGGCCAAGGAATTGTTTTGTCTGGAATGGCGAAC